TGTGTGTGTATGAGTATTGAGTGTGTGTATGAGTATTGAGTATGTGTGTGTGTATGAGTATTGAGTGTGTGTATGTGTGTGTGTATGAGTATTGAGTGTGTGTATGTGTGTGTGTATGAGTATTGAGTGTGTGTATGTGTGTGTGTATGAGTATTGAGTGTGTGTATGTGTGTGTGTATGAGTATTGAGTGTGTGTATGAGTATTGAGTATGTGTGTGTGTATGAGTATTGAGTGTGTGTATGTGTGTGTGTATGAGTATTGAGTGTGTGTATGTGTGTGTGTATGAGTATTGAGTGTGTGTATGTGTGTGTGTATGAGTATTGAGTGTGTGTATTGAGTGTGTGTATGAGTATTGAGTATGTGTGTGTGTATGAGTATTGAGTGTGTGTATGTGTGTGTGTGTGAGTATGTGTGTGTGTGCGTGTGTGTGTGTGTGTGCGTGTGTGTGCGTGCGTGTGTGTGTGCGTATGAGTGTGTGCGCGTGTGTGTGTGTGTGTGTGTGTGAGTGCGTGTTCCATGCGCCTGTAATGAGAGCAGACAGTTCAATCCTGATGTCAAATTGCTCAGTATAAAGTCAGTGCGTGTGAGAGCCGTTCACACATGGCGGTGATGTGTGTTTGCTGCAGATAGACCTGTCTATATTAATACGGAGCAGAGGAACACAGGTAATCTCCTGCTGGCTGACAGCTAGTTAAACACGCCGGTCCAGCCTGCTCTCTTTAATACATCACACACACTTACAGAACAACTACCTGCAGCCCGCTCTCACACACACACGAAAAATGAAGAATCAAATATAAAACCACCACGAATAAGATACAAACCTAGAATAAAATAATCCATAATATCAGTTCCTCCAGTGAAAAAGTGTTCTGCTGTTGTCTCTCACATCAGAATCCAGCCACATATGTGTTTAGAGCTGTTTAAACAGTGCTTGATCTGTGCAGATTTCTCTCCTGATTCACACCAGAACACTTTTTCACTGGAGGAAGAGTTATTATGAACTCGTGTTTGAGTTAAAAAGGTCTTAATGCTGGATTAGTTTCAGCGTGTGTCTTCTCCAGATGTTAACTGATGGACTGGAGTGCTGTGGATTATTGTGATGTTTTTATCAGCTCTCGTTCTGACGGCACCCATTCACAGCAGAGCATCCATTGCTGAGCAAGTGATGCAACACTACATTTCTCCAAATCTGATCACCTAATCTCGGATGACCTGAGGGTGCATACATTTTCAGAAAATGTACATTTTTGTGTGAACTATTCCTTTAAACTCATATCAACATAACTAAAGTTGCCCTATGAGATTCACCACAAAGAACAAGATGTTTTGCATAAGAAAAGACTCATTTCACATTTGTCTCCTCTAAAGCTTCAGAAAATCTCCAAATATTTATTTCAAACTCTATGACAAACCATCTGAGACTAAGCTCATATATGAAACAACTGACAAACACATATTCTAGTTCTTCATCCTTAAACCCATATCAACATAATCAAAAGTCTCCTGAGTGATTCCAACCACAATAAATAGCAAAACAAACAGATTTCGCTCAGATTTGGCCTCTCTCATGTGTGGCAGCTGTGCATGATGGGATTCAAAATGCATCAAAGCGTAAAGTGGATATTAACCTTGACGTAATGAGTTTATCTCCAGCTGAAAACAGCCAAATAAAGGAGAAATGAAACGCACAAACACAAGCGCGAGACTCTAAACAGCAGCATCTCTCTCTCGGGAAGCAGAATGTCAATGAGAAGGTCAGAAGCGCTGACCTCTCTTTTACTCGCAGCATAAAGCAGTCTGGCCTTTGGAAAGCAGTAATGAAGGATAATCTCTGAAGGACGGGTTAGATATGATGCTGGCCAGACTGACAGCTGCAGGTCGCTCAGGAAGAAAGGATGGGAAAACAAGTCAGGAATGAAAATATCAGTGTCAGAGAACAGCTACGAGCTGCCAGACGCCCTGCGCTCCTCCAGATTCATCACCTGACAAAGAGCAAACACAAACAACAAGCACCAGCAAAAGCCTAATTAGACAGAAGCGGGGGGATCCTGACGGGCCAAATCAAACAATCAGCTTTTCTGAACAAAGACGTCCTTCATTCAAGGAACTCTCAAATGAGTCGTTTAGCATGCAAAAAAGTCAGAAAAATAAAAGCAAATAACCTCAACTCATAAATGGCACCTACATTTTTATAATCATAATGCAAAATAACCAACCCACTGTCACGCTGAAGCAACAAATTAAAGCATTGTTACACTGTGCATATACTCTGAATCTGTTTTAATTCAAGGATGTTTTTGCACAACGTTGGCCAACTAAACAACACAATAATAAAGTGGTTTTCTCCAGAAAGTGTCTTTCTGATGATTAAATTACGCTAATATACTTAACTAAAACTGAAACTAAAATTAAAACCATAAAAAAAAATCGTTACTTGAAATAAAACTAAACAAATAAAATGAAAAAAAAATTATATATATATTAAAAACCCTTTTTTAGTTAGTTGCCAAGGCAACATTTCTTATTTTAATTTAGTTTAACTTGATGGATTAAAATAAATACATCTAAAACTGAAAATAAAAATTCATTAAAAATTAATTTGAAAAAACTACTGAAAATGATAAATGACAAAATTAAAATGCAACATATAAAAATAAAAACTAATCCAAAATAAAAACTATAAACAAAAAAGAAAAATACCATTATTATATTATTATTTTTATTTTTTCCCCTAAAAATCGAATGATCTATTCAACCTGTATTTTAATTCTTCATAACCAAGCCAAGTAAAATATACAAATTGTCATGTCCTCATCGTGAACAGTGAAATCCACGTTAAAAAGAACAATGTATTAACACAGAGTTTAAATACAGCATTTTGTCATTATGTAACTAGATTCTATTTCAAAACATTTCAAAACATCCACACTGCTACATTTAAATTAAAAAAGTGGAACCTGCAGGAGATTCAAAAACGGAACTTGACACCAAAGAGCCACTCATTCCCAAACATTCTCTTTTTGTGTTCCATTTAAAAAAACAACAGCACACAGGTTAGGAAATGACATGAGGGTGAGTTAAATAACGACAGAATTCATTCTCAGGTTAACTAGTCCTCAAACAGGTAAACCCGCAGTGCGTCAAAGAGACTCTGATGTTCTTTGTTTTCACTCACATCAGCAGACGGCTGCTGAATTTCTCTGCGGGGCGATCGATACAGCCGGTTTCCCTGCTTCTGTCATTCCCTCTGACACTCACGCCCCGCGGGAGTCCGTTTCACCCATGAACCCCGGGCCGCCCCGCTCTATTCATCTCCGTAATTGTCTGTATGAATTATGTACCTGGCTCGGAGGGTGAATATGAATCCATTACTCTCTACTTCAATTATCAGAGCGGACATTATGGAAAATGGCAGGAGAAATGATTACAGGATTCATGAGATGAAATATGCATGACCTCCCAGAGTTGTGTACATTCATCTATCACTCCATGTCTTTGCATTCATGGACAATTTTTCTTCATCCAGCACCCGAGGCACTAAACGGAGAGGAAAGCAGAGCGGAGACACTTACCAGAAATATCCTCTCCAGCTGATCCTGAATATCCTTCATGCCCGGGAATGCCGCCACTCCCTGGATCATTTCCACGAAGATGCATCCGACACCCCTGAAACACAAACAAACAGCACTGACTCTCTAACCCTCAGAAAGGTGATTCGTGCATGAATATCAGAATCAAAACAGCTTGTAACGCTCAGATGATTTATGCACTTTACGAACAGCCTGGAAAAGCAGGAACGAGCTTGATTGTTTTGTAACTGTAACTGCGTGCAAGCATCAGTGTGATTAAACACTCAGAACAAGCCTTCACATCAGGGATTCCCAAACCTTTTGTCAGCCGAACCCATTTGAGCTCAAATATTTACTTAAGACAGGGTTATTATAGTTAACTGGACCTAAAAGTTACTTGAAATAAAATATGTTGACTTATTTTGTTTCAGCTAGTTTCCAGAGCAACATTTCTATTCTATTTTAATTCACTTTCATACCTGCAAACTCTCAAGAGGTGGAAAAGATGACATGTTTGCGAATGTAATCCTTGTAGGGGGTCTGAAGAAAATTTCTGTGCACGCCAATGAAGCATTATGGCACACTCTGACAAAATAATTAAGGGAAAAGATGACATTTGCTTGAAGTAAAAAAGCAAAACACACTGACACCACTTAAACTTTTTGGAACACCAGCCACAACTTCTTGCTGAAAATATTTATTTCTTCTGTCGTTCGGCATGCACAAGTCTTTCAAGTGCCCGTTTTCGCATTTTTTATAAATTGTAAGCATTTCGTTATAACTAATTACAAAGTAATTATATTACAATCTAATGACTTGTTTGCACTAACAATATTTACTCAAATTATACATATAATATATCTTACAACTTTAATAATATATAGTCTATACAAAGTTTATAATGGCTACTATTGTTCAGCAAATGATATTTTATATCATAATGTTTGTGTACTTGGTATTGAGAAACGGTCTGTATGTTAATAACGGGGATTTATCAATGACTTCAGAGAGAGTGCATTACAAACGCTACGGCAGTGACATGATTCGACAAAATAATTAAGGGAAAAGATGACATTTGCTTGAAGTAAAAAAGCAAAACACACTGACACCACTTAAACTTTTTGGAACACCAGCCACAACTTCTTGCTGAAAATATTTATTTCTTCTGTCGTTCGGCATGCACAAGTCTTTCAAGTGCCCGTTTTCGCATTTTTTATAAATTGTAAGCATTTCGTTATAACTAATTACAAAGTAATTATATTACAATCTAATGACTTGTTTGCACTAACAATATTTACTCAAATTATACATATAATATATCTTACAACTTTAATAATATATAGTCTATACAAAGTTTATAATGGCTACTATTGTTCAGCAAATGATATTTTATATCATAATGTTTGTGTACTTGGTATTGAGAAACGGTCTGTATGTTAATAACGGGGATTTATCAACGACTTCAGAGAGAGTGCATTACAAACGCTACGGCAGTGACATGATTCTGTGTGAAAGTCGGATAATTTTGCATTAATATTTCAGTTTTGTGCAATATGATTTTAAATGTGTTTAAAGTTTGATTCATGCATTTATTTTTTAAATGCGTTATTTTGATTCACGCTTATTATTTTTCGATCTGTGACCATTGTTTGCTATTCTGAAAACTTTGCTTTCATTTTTAAACTTTGTGTAATATATTTTTACTTGCATTTTAAAATTTTGGTTTCATGCTTATTATTTTTTATCCGTGACTGCAATAGTTTGTGCGGAAAATTTATCCCATAATTGACAAACATCTCTTACTAATTTTGAGCTGCTGATTCCAGAAATAGTGTCTATTTTTCTCAGGCATGTCACAATTTCTTACAAAATATGATGAGTTTGTAGCATTTTTGCTTTTTACAACCATCTGTGTGGTGAAGAAGTCTTGTATTTTCTCTAAATCAGCAGAAAAACACACGATTCCTGTCTGAATCTGAGCCAGATTACAACTATCTGATCAATTCTCAGCTCATTTTCACATGCATGACTTCAGTTTATTTCTAAATATTTCATGGTTAGAATTATGATCCATTGACAGAAGAAAATGCAAACATAAGTCAACTGTTTTCAGCTTTTACTGCATCAAAACAGCCACAGAAAATCACAGATTTTGTGAAATACGATTATTTATTTATAAACTTGTTAATGAAAAAATCTTTGACATTAAATATTTGAACATATTTTCTCACTCTCTTGTAGATTGTAAGTTAAATTATATATTTTGAATACTTCTGTTTGTCAGAAACGTTTGTCATATGACTGCTTTTATTTTAATATGTGCATTAAATCTGATACATTTATATATAATTGTTTTGTGAAAATACTACATGATGGAAAGCTTTTATTGATATTTCTGAACTCATCATTATTAAATTAGGTCATATTAGGCAAAAGAGGAGGGCTGCTATTAATTATCATATTGGAAAATTATCAGTTTTCCAATAGTTGAGAGAATTTTGAATAAAAATTTAGTAAAATACAATAAAGCCACAAACTTAGAGTGCATCTCGCATGCTACTACAGTATATCAATAATTGATATAGTATCACATGATAAAGCAGCATTATATCAGCCATCAGTCATCCTGCTCACTGAGAGACAATTAAAGTTAAATAATGGGGGAAAATAACTATATTATTTTATCCTAGATCGGTGAAGAATAAAACAATACGCTGAGCTTTAAATAGCATGAATGTGCAGATTTCACTGTTATTTGTATCATAGTCTATTATAATTTGTATTCATATTTTATATAGTGTTATATATATGTATATATTAGTAATTTTGCTGGTTTTGCCATTTGTAGTACAGTAGTTTTAGTTTTTTATGTACTGTATGTCTATATTTTTTTATGCATCTTTATTTCAGTTCTTATTTGAGTTACTTTAGTATATCAAATATTGAAAAATGAAATGAAAATGCTGCCTTTCTAATATTTTATTTCATTTCAGTTCATGTTTATTTCAAGCTATTTTTTATGCTTTTAGTATTAGTTTTTAGTTAATTATAATAACCCTATAATGGACCCTTTTCACAAGACTGTGATGACGCGTTTAACGGTCATTAGCATCGTAAATCCTCGAAAGTTTTTCATATTTGTATTTTTTTTTTAAATGTATGCACATTTATAACACTATTCTTTGTATTATATCACCTTTGCATCAAAGTACAAAAAAACAGTTAACGCTAATGCTGTGTTTCTAATGCAGCGTCTCTGGAGGCTCTCTCTTTGACTGCCGTTATCAGTCTCTCTCAATTTTTTTCCTTTTATTGAAAGTCACGAAAAGTTTTTCTTTTGCTATTTGAGCAAACGGGAATGCAAAAAATATATATCTGTGGTACTCTCCCATTCACCGCTCTTCAAGTTAACCCAACTATGACGACTTCCGCTGAAATGTGAAAAAGGTCCATAATGTGTCTCAGCGTCTGTTCGTCAGCATGCGATCGTTTCTAGTCCAGTGCGCACGGCTGTGTCCTTCTGACAGCAAATGGGCGAGAGCCACACAAACACACGCCAGCAGTGAAAACTCAACCAGCCTTTCCAGAATCAGTCCATCCGTCTCCATAACAGAGCATTTCAAATGTGGATGTGATGTGAGTTAGCGGCTGGATCTGACTGGCAGGCGGCTGATAAGATGTCAGCTTACAGTCGGGCAGAGAGACGAGCGCGTGCTAATCCCCAGCCTGACTGATGCGTTAGCGTTACTGGGAAAACCTCCCGCACATGCAGCCGTATGGGCCTCGTCGTGCCTCATTTCTCAAGACAGCAGCTCCTCCCACCTCTTTAGACCCCGGACGCCGGCCAGTTACTCCAGATCTTTATTTACGGCAAGACATTACTGCCAAAACCACTGTAAGAAGAAGAAGAGAGACCCTGTCAAACTAAAAAGATCCCCGTCCTCAAAAGGGCACAAGGTGTGGAAAGAGCTGGCAGAATATTGTGATGTTTATTCTTTTAAAAAGAAAAATTGTCAGGGATGTTAGAAGAATAAACCTTAAAAGGTTGGTTCACCAAAAAATGAAAATTAGCCCATAAATTACTCACCCTCAAGGCATCCTAGGTGTATATGACTTTCTTCTTTCAGACGAATCCAGTCGGAGTTATATAAAAAATGGTCTTTGATCT